GAACTTGCTAATTTGTCTAACGTAAAGACTTCTTAAAGGTCAAAAGAATTACGCCATAGAAAATGCTGAAAACTCGTCTATCCAGGGTGAGGTTCAATGGTATTGAATCAAATAAACTTGATCTTGGCTAGAACCAATTTGAAATTCCTTGGCAGATGCCAACCAGTTTCACTAGATCAGCGATTTGAAATATGTTTATTTTTGATTTTCATTTTTATTATTCTTCTATTTACAACTGAAAAGGTAGCTTGATTCCCCTTATCCGGCAGCGGACTTCAGGGCACCGGGGCTCAGTTTGCGGTTCTTTGTCTGATAACGCGCCTTGTAACCATCCTTGTCGGCGGTGTACATGGTCGTGGTCTCGGTGTCAGTCTTCTCGTCATATACGGTGTACATACCCATCACCACTAGCTCCTCCTTATCGGTGCCAGGGTTCAGGATCATACCGACCTCCTCCCGAGAGCTGCCATTGGGCTCATTGACGCTGCAAGTGGGAATACACACAATTACACTTAGTCCTTGATAGAAATAGTTAACACCTACGCGAAACGGTATCCTTCCTCGCTGGAAGCTCCGCTGTAGTACTCCGTAATGGCTCTGGGAATAAGAGCGTCCAGGAGACCGGCCGAGCAGTTAGCGACCAGGATGGCCAGCAAGGCACTGCAGAGAAGCTGAAAAAAATGAAATAATTATCAAATAATTAATATTTAAATATGTGAATAATTTTCAATTTCAAAAAAGATAGCTAAACTTATGAATCTATCAATGCAATGCAATACAATACAATATTAAACTTAATTTTTGGGCGAATTCATCATCATATATTAAAAGATGAATTACATTTAGCACAATTTATTCGTTATTCGCTACAATTATTGAGGTTTGCCTAGTTTATTTGCATTCTATTAAGCTTACAATTTCTGCGATAAAAATTTAATGATTTCAAACCAGAAATGTCTAAATAAAACTAGTTAATGAATACAAATTCTAAGCTGCAGAGAGAAAACTCTATAACGAATCTACCTTCTCACGCTACCAAAAACTCAGTAATTACTTCCCCGTAATTTAAAACAGTTTTATGTTTAATAGGTAAGAAAACCTTAAAGACAGACATTTGCAATGGAGTGCGGGGAGTGCGGGAGTGCAATATAAATACTTTGACTCAATCGATCTAAACGCCAAGCTTGATTAGCCATTAACAGCAGCTGCATCAATATTTTGCATGCAATAATTGCTTTTATTTAGATAGCACAAACACATTTAACACATGAACAGTGTAATTATATTGCCGCCGATATTGGCAGGGTCGCAGGTTCTCGGACACGGGACAGCTACTACTTACCAATTTCGTTGAGGAGGCCATGTTGATGCGCGATGGAGTTACCAAGCTATACTAAAGCATCCGAAGCGCGCCCCTTAATTTATAAAAGTTAAGATCTGCATTGATCCGCGCTTGTCCGGCACACAGACACACACGGCGGATAAGTCATATTTCTTACTTAGTTGCTGCCACTATTGAGTAAAACCGGTCGCGTCGAGTCTCAGTCGAAGTCCCTCTTAAAATGCCGAATAAGACGCCACCAACGCCTTTCAACCATTATGTTTTGATTTTGGTTTATATCGGCAGATCGTGTGTGGCGAAGGAATCGTCAGATGATCATCAGAAAAAATTGATAGTTTCACAGGTGTCCGAAAAACAGTATCTCGCCTAGTTGCATTCCATTTCTAATCATTATCCGGTTATCCTTGGTTTTTAAGTTTAACACAAGCATTGATTTATAAAAATGATATTTGCATATTTTAGTCTGTTGCCAAATTAGAAAAAAAAAACTAATAATATACTAAAACTAGTTTATGCCGGTCATTTAATGATTTCACTTTCTATAGGATGCTCTCGAATGTAATGCCCCTATAGCCACCACCAGCTGTTCATTCCAAACAATGGTTTTTTACCGAATGAATCAGGTTTTTCTTCGGTTCTTACATGATTCTACGATGAGTAATTACTTGTAATTAAGCAAGCAACATATTGATGTTACTTAGTCATTGCTTTCAAGAAAATCCTTTTGAAATGTGTAAAATCCAGAAATAAAACCCAACTCAGGATAATTTTTAGATTCGAATGGAGCCACAATAGTTAAGAAAACAAACAACCATTAATCTTACCGTCATCATAAGGTTGAATGATCTTAACTGATGACAAATTAAATTAGAGTTCATTATAAGTCGCTGACCTTGCACAAAGTTAGAGTTCGCTATTTTAAACTGAACCTAAAATTGATGTTTGGGGGTATTTTGACAATTGTTTTAAGCAGGAATAACATTGGACTTTTTGGGGATCATTCAGGTTATCTTAAATAAACAATCTCATAATTTGTTTTGAAAACAATATACAGCAAATTAATTATTATTAATATTATTTTCAACTAAAGACACACCCAAAACATCCTAAAATTAACAAACTATTACTATTATTATATTTTCTTTTTCAAAATTTATAACTAATAACTGATATCATACTTGAGCTTTTAGACCATTAACAAATTGTGATGCCACCTTAACTTAGTTGATGAACAAAAGCTCAACTGCGCATGCTTTTATATAACGTAAAAAATAAATGTAGATGACATCACCAATATTTTATTTATCTACATAAATCTTTTTCGAAAACCTAAAGTATAACCATTTAAAAAATACAACATTTATAACTCTAAGCTGAATTGTGTTGTTAATATTAACATATAAACTTATAACATAGAGAACAAGAAAGGAAAATTAATACAACCATGCAGTTTGAAATTATGTATATGTATAGATATTTTAATATAAAAAATCAAAGCTGAAAAACCTTATAACTAAGCCAAAAAAATCCTTAATTTGAATTCTCAAGGCTTTTCTATGTTAGTAAGTATTAGCTTTAGAAAGCTGCATGCTCAATTTAAACCTAAAATTTTTATCAATTTTTGACAATTTTAATGATGCCACCCCTTTCAAATTTTGAATTTTTGAAAAAATGTTGAAAATTTAATTTTTGACGGGACATTTCTAGATCAATTCAGCTGTTAATGCTGATCAATAATATATATAGGGGTTGGAAATGACTCCTTCACTCGTCATAAGCTTCTGAATAAAGTTGTAATACCCTTGAAAGGGTTTTTATAATGATAAATTAAACCGTGACCCTCTAAAGACATTTATCAATCCTCCAAATTTACTTATTTTTTATATACATTATTATATTCCTTCTTAAAGCGTTAGCGTCTTCAGGGTTTGAGCATTTAGTTTGCGGTTTCTAATTTTATATCGTGGCTTATAACCATTCTTATCGGCAGTGTACATGGTTATAGTCTCGGTATCAGTCTTATCATCGTATGAGGAATAGGTACCCATCACCACCAGTTCCTCCTTATCGGTACCGGGATTCATGATTATACCAATTTCCTCACGTTTGCTGCCATTGGGCTCCTCTAGGCTGGAATGGCATAAAATAATAATTATCAATGATCTTTAAAAGTATTATATTTGACTTACTTGAAACGGTAACCCTCCTTGGTGGGCACCTGCTGGTAGTATTCCGTCATAATTGTGGGAAAGATAAAGTCCAGGAAACCCGCTGAGCAGCTCGAGGCCATAATGGCCAACATGGCGCTGAAGAGTAGCTAAGAATATTAATAAAAATAATTACACATTATATTGACACATATTTATAAATTTGTTCTGATTAAAAAAAGCAAGTATTTCTTACAAATTTTGTTGAAACCATTTTCATTAAATTTAGCAAGCTATACTAAATCTGCTGAGGGGCACACCTTAATTTATAAACATAAGAGCTTATGGAACCTATAGTCATTTAGCCCGAATTAGCCAAATTTCTTACCTAGTTGCAGCCGAGATTATAGAAAACCGGAACTTTTGGTTCCCCAATTAAAAAGTTAAAAGTGGGGAGAACAGGATTTGACCTCACTCTTTCACTTTTTTGGTCTTAAACTCTCATTAATTATTATTGTGGTTATCCTTGGCTTTATAACGAAACCTGTGATATATAAATTTATATTTGCATTAAAACTGCTAATAAAAAAGTGAATACTTAAAAACTGGTTTATTTTGATTTCACTTTCTATAGAATGCTCCAAATTTAGCATACCGAATGAATGATTTCTTCGAAAAGAACAAAGTAATATCTAATGCTGATACTCGAAATAATATTTAAAATGCATTATAGCCATTAATCTTAAACTGAGAATAAAATATAATGCTCTTGACAGCAATAGGATTAAGTTGTTCTCAACGAAACAAATTGTGTATCTGATAAAACTTTTAAAAATATAAGACGCACCATATTGAGTTAATTTAAGTATTATTAAATCTTTAAAATTGAAATATACAGACTTTTAAAATGAAATTGTTATTTTTATTAATTATTAAGAAAAATTTATTTGTTGTCAGTTACTATTTAAAACTCTTATAATGAAAGTGATTATTTCTTTACATAGCACAATGGCAAAAAGCTGAACGGTGCGATGTAGAAAAGAGGCGCCACCAAAAGCATTTACTCTGTAAAATTTGTTAATTTTAATTAATTTAAATTTGTTAAAAACCTAAATTCGCTTACTTACTAAATAAATAAAAAGGATTGAATATTTGTATTCCTTATTTTACTGGTATATTGTAACATTTTTGTTCAAATTATTATCTCAACATTTTTTTAATACAAGCCCTTTCCTTAATACATTTAAACTTAACCTTTAACCGTGTGAAAAATATAGCCATGGCATTGCATATACCATAATTATAATAAACACTCACCTTTTCGACTTTGTTACCTAGCATTAATGCCGTAATACACACCAATATTCAGTATTAAATGACCCTTACAAAAAAGCTAACTAAATTACTTAAAATTATATTGACTACAATTAATATTTGAATTATGACTTGGCACGTTTCGCGGACAAAAAGTGTGAGCTTCCACAGCCGATGGGCAGTCGCTGATCCATATACCAACAGCTAAGAGAGTCTTCATCATGTTGAAACGGAACAACCAAGTAATTCTGACAGGACTTGTGACCCTTATGGTGACTTTTGGATTTATACCGACCATCGAAGCAGCTTCCAAGGCACCTGATATAAACCTGGGACTTATTTCTATCTCGGATACATCCGATATGTGCCAGTACTCGCCGCTTTTATCCTACAGTTGTTGCCAAAGTGTTACTGTGAATATGTTGAATGATACCAAGAAATGTAAAAGGTGTCCTTTTTTTATTATTTTATTTTATTTTTAGAAAATCCCATTTACAGTTTGCCTCAACTTTAAGGCGGATATCTTGGGCGGAAAAGTGGATCTGAGCACTACCATGGATGGGGTTTCATTGGGAAAGTTTAATATTGATATCAATAAGCCGCCAACAATCTGTCTGCCTTTGATCTCCACGATGGGCCTAAACATGTGCCTGAAGCTCAACTTCTCGCTGTCCAGCTCCGGGGCCAAAATCTGTCCAAATGTCTATTCATCCTACAATACCAACGATATCATGACCTACACCTTTCCATGTGTCCAGGTTGGCCTGGATGGTGTGAGCCTGGTGTAAGGACTAAACACAATATAAAATGGTTAGGAAATAAGCATCAATTTGGTCTTGTTTCGAATTAAATTATTTGATTGATGTGCAAATTATTGATTTGATTTTTTTGTTTACAGAAATGAAGAACAAAATTATCTCTGCTAAGACTTAAATAACCGTTTTAAACCTTAAATCAGTTACATAAAATTTACACATTTTTTTCTTCAAATTTTTTATTCTTAATGCTTTTCATCGTTAGAATTACAAAATGTTTTCAGCAGATAGCCAGGAAAATTGGTATATACAAATGTTACTGGTCAAATGCACGGATCAAATACGATCGAGGACATACATTATAAGACAGCTTAGCTTATCGAATAGGCTATTTTTTTAATTAAACAAAAAAACAAAAATATATTTGTGGGAAGGGATAGGGATTGGGAACCCATCAAGCCCAGGGTATAAATGTACAATTAACTTACAACTGAAGATCACAAAGGACTCCTAACCATCATACTAGAGCCTAGAGGTTTTGGTCTTACAAATTCTACCAATTACATTATGTTGGGTTCGGTCTCTCTTCCTATATTGAGGTAAGCAGCAGATAATTTAGGCTTCTTTATATAGATAAAGTAAGGCTTGTCAGGATCTAAACACCATTGGAGTATATCTAGTTCCCTAGGGGCCTCTAAGGAACCCGAATAAAGATCAGTTCGTTTGTAAATCGCTCATATACTACATCTTACTACAAAGCTCGCAAGACTAAAGGCGGTTATCAACGAGTTAACAGAAAAAAGTGGTTAAAGAATTGAAAATGCAACTATAATGGCGCATTTTGAAGACTAGGTAAGGTGAACTTGAAACTTAAACTTTCAATTTATTATAATTGAAAGTGTATTCATCATTTCTTTGTATCTTATATTTAAGTTTCAAGTTCAAGGTTTTTTTATCAGTCTTGAAAAAGCACCATAAAGTCAATGTCAGTAAATTTAACCACTTTTCATATTCTGTGAGCAATCTATAAGAATCTTTTCAATCTTGGCCTTTAGTCTTGCGGCAAAAACAAACGATTTTCGTAGGCCTGTGTAATTTATCGCTTAATCAAACTAAAACTAAGCCTGGAGCAAGCCACCACTGTGATTGGCCAAACAGCTGCCCTGGTCCATGGCCAGGCCGAATGGGGATCCATCTCCGCGAAGGGACGACGACGATGATGTCGCCGTGGTGGCCGAGGGCGGCACATCGCCCACGATCGCCTTGCACATGACCATCCTGACTCCGGCAAGGAAGTCGGTGAGGTAGCATCATGTGGGTCGCGAAGGAGCCGGTGGCTTCCGCTCAACGGCTGTCAGGACGACGGGTGGCGGGGGTGGCGGAGCACTACGCATCCTGGGCACTGGCTTTTGATCCTGCCGCCCCACCTTGGGCTGTATGGTGATGACCTTTGGTTTGGTTCCCAGGTGTTTGGCCCTGGCATCTGCAGCACCGCCCTCGTATTGCACCGATTCTACTGATGATGAAATTCTGATGTTGCCCTCTTCATCAATGTCATTGGGATTATTATCCAACTCATCGTCCTCGTCCTCGTTCTCCTGGTCCTCGATCAGGGCACGGAACTCCTGAATTGATTCGTTTAGCACCCACAGTTGAGACAACAACGAGAGATCTAGTTGACGCAGTCCGTTCTGAAAGAGGAAATTAAAAAATTAGTAAAAGTAAGATTATATGAATGAATATAATGTAATATAAATATAAAATATCATAAACCTTTGTTTCATCTTAATACAATTTTCAGTGAATGATTATTGCTAAAAATATTTGAGCTTAACACGTTTCATTAACCTTTTTATATTCACTGATAAGTTATCCAACACACTTATCTTAATGAAATATTTATATACCCCTCTAAAGATGAATATATGTGTATTCTTATCAGTAACAATATCGCCTGCCTAGCCATGAATAATCCCGATATACCAATGTCCTCTTATATGTATATAGCCTTGGCCTGTATTTATGCCAGAAAGACGCTTGTGGTCAAAATGAAAGTTCGCCTGTCGCTGTCGAGTAGGAAGGAAAAATCTCATTTGTCAATTAATATCTCAGCATAATATCGCGCGAAAAAAAATATATATATATATAAAAAAAGAAAATCACCAAAGAAAACTTTCTGCCAGCAGTCGCGTTTCCAGTTGCATCGTTTGTGGCACTAAAATCCAAATCCCCTCAACTCGACGTCTCGCTCCAGCCAACTCCCACCTGGCTGCTAATGTATATTCAACATTCAGTATTCAGCACTCAATGGGGGAGACCGGAGATTAGAAAATAAATTATAGAAATCGCTATGTTTTAAATTAAACAAAAGCAGCATAATAATATTTAGATGAATGGCATTACAAGTTGATATTTAAATGGGAAGCGACACGCGATAATTAAAAATAATATTTGGTTTGCAATGGAGTGCTTTATTTATATATTTTACGATTAGTTATTTAAGGCATTCCTGATTAATTATTATATATTAGCCTTTAACTGAAAAAAGAAGCAATAAATAAATATATAAAAATAACTGCATAATATCCCCATAATTTCTCTTCATATTTTTGTTAGAAAAAACCACAGAACTCAATTTCCCTTCTGCTTCCGGACAGAATAAGTATTTTTCCATTAGTGGTTTTTCCTTCAATGCATCCCAGATTTTTCCTGCTTTCATAAGCTTTCCTACCAATGAGGAAATATATTTGCGTGTTCTCCAATAAAAAAAACTGCCTATCTACACTTTTCTCTTTGTATCTTCTTACTTTTTTTTGCTGTTTTTACAATTTTTCTTTGTCTATTAGTTGTTGCTTTGGTGTAAGCCATGTAAAGTGTGCCAGTTTGTAGGTGATTAAAACCTTTTTCGCCGCTTTTCACGGGGGCGTCACCTTGGGCTTGGATCGAATGTGAATTAGTCGCGAATTAACATACTTGCAGGGTTATCTGTGGGCAGTACAATTGATCTAAATAGAAATTGTAAATTGCACTAATGACATTAGTTGTCTAAACCAGAAATTACAGATCAGGCGGTAAGAAAATGTGGGTCAACCTTTATGGTGAAGAGTAGCTTTGACCAAAAACAGAATTAATTAAGTAATTAGCATAAGAAATTGTATGGTAAATTAATATCAATTTACCTGATTATATTCTATAAGATATATATTTCATTTAAAAGCTTCTTAAAATTTATAAATATGAGTTTAAAGAAGAGTTTATATTTTTCTCTTATCTTTCATTATGTCAAATCAATACAATTAGTTTCAAAACTCAATTAGCCCTAAGCTCATTGCGCTAAAATTGCTTAGGGCTGTTCCATCCCAGTGGTTATATTACGTGGTATATTTTTTGTTTTTTTTTTTAATGTGCCCCGTGTCGCGTTGGAAGACTTTGGCGCAAGCAGAAGCCCTAAAAGTATTTCTTAAATGCAACAGCGCCAAATGGCAATGAACGCTGCAAATGCCAGACAAGGCTGCCTCTTCTCTGCTCTGCCCTCTGGCGATGCAACAACTATATAGTCATATATACAAACATTTGCATATAGATTTATATATATATATATGTATATTTGGATCTGCCCAAGATCTGTGGTAAATACTGGCCCGTTCTATCTTTAGCCATTCGGGAAGCCTTTCAGCTTGCATCAAAGATTTCTGCGCTGATGCGTGAACTCTGCGGCTAAATGGCGGCACCTTTTGCAGAAAACCATGCGGAAGATCAGGAAATGGGAAATGGGAACGGGAAAAGCGAGGAATTTCAACAATAACAACTGGGAGAATAAAGAAGAAAATAAGTGAAAATATTGGCAGACAGCCCTAACGTATTTACACAAATGTAAATCTATTAAAGAACTTATTATATTAGAGTTTTATAATTTTAGTCAGAAGCTTGTAACTCTGCGAAATCGGGTTTCCGACCCCATAAATCATATATATTCTTTATCAGCATCAAGAGCCGAGTTGTAATAGCCATGTCCGGTCAAAATTTATTTTTTTCAAAATTTTCAAAATTTTATAAGGGGTTATCGTTAAAATTGTCAAAAATCTATAACAATGTAAAATTTTTAAAATTTGAAATTGAGTATGCAGATTTATTCCTAATAAAAACTAATATAGGAATGATTTCCGATTCAAATTTAATGATTTTTTGGCTTAGTAATGAGCTTTTTAAGCATCAATATGCCTTAGAAATTTTTATACAAAATTCACAATAAATATAACTTCAAAGAATGAAAATTGTTTAAGTTTAGTTATGATCGATTTTTGATTCGATTCTATACTTCAAGTGCGGACTGCAAGGGAACTTCTGCATCCCTTAGTTAATTAAATCTTTATATTGCTGTATAAGTTTGGGCAAATTTAGTAGAAACCCTTGACGATTCTCACCAGACCCTGTTATTTACCAATTAAATTTAATTAACCCCAAAGTTGGGCAAATGAGGCAATGGATTGATTGCAGAACGTCGGTCTTGTTGTTTTTATTACCTTTTTTTATTTTTATAACCCATGAGGCAGAGGTTGGCGTGTCGTGTTCGCGGTCTGATTAAGATTAACTAAGCCCAGACTAAGTTCGCATGTGCCAAATAAAGTGGAACAGGTGAGAAGCGATTAGCCACGAACGGGGTCGTCTTTCGTCTTTCGCATTTCATATCTCCGTCCGGCCAAGATAGAGATCTTGGGATCTGGGAGCCAAGCGGAGAAAGAATGCGGGCGTTCAAGGCCATTTTATGTAAGCCGTAAAACTCCATTTCATGCATTGATGCATTTCTTCTCACCAACAAACCAACAGCGGCTGTCCGCTGGCTTTCAAGCTCGAGCTCAGGCTTGGGCTCTTTAGTTAAGTTACTTTGGCTGCCTCCTTTTCTGTTGTTCATAAATTTAATTTGCTGCCATAACCGAGGTATCTGGCAAACCCGGCAGAAACAAAAAAAAAACAGCAGCAACAACAAAAGCGGCCAACATAAATTAGCTGAAGCGGACTCGCTTTGTTGCTTTGTTGCTTGCTTACTTGCCAGCTTGTTACACTGTAGGGAAATTCTAGTTATATATAAATTACTGTTTATATTTAATGTTCTTAAAATTATTTACTAAGCTAAACACTTTTTTACACATTCATAGTTATAATATTATTATTAATAACATTTTTAGTTAGGTTAATGGATTAGTTTTTGAAAGTATAAATTTCTGTATCTTATTTTCTTTTTAGAGCATTCAATACTGTATTCAATCGAAAAACGTTCCTGAACTTTTTAGTTTTGATCTTTTCTTGTACGAGAAAGTTATTAATAAACTTCATTAGCTGTTGAAAAATTATTTCTGGAAAATATAAATTTATATTAATAGCGTATTCTATACTTAGAACATTAGAAAGAATTATGAATTTATTGCGGAAACTTTTTTAAACGTTGTTCGTCTTAATTTTTCTTTTTAAATGAAAAACCATTAACCTATTTAAATGTTAGAAAATTATTTCTTGAAACTGTAAATCCTTACAGGGACTCAGAAACAATGTTGAGATTTATTCTGATATTTTTTCCAAGTGCAGGCTTGCCAGCTTACTTTGGCTTAATGGCTGCGCATGCGCTGATTAGTCTTACTCCTGTTTTCTCCCATTGTGGCTCCGTGGGCTTTTTAGCTTTAGCTTTTTATTTCTCCCCGATGCGTTGTGTTGCATTAACCAAGTTTATTACTTCATTTTCATCGTTGTGCACATTAGAGATGGTGCCAGTGCCGGTGATGGCTATGGGAACGGCTTTAACAATTGCGCGTAATTTGACTTGACAATCATCTATTAATTCGGAGGGAATCAGGCAAAAGGTAAGATATGGTGGTATCGTGTCCATCCGGCTAAATGAGTTCTGCACTTCGAGCGGTGAACACTAAAAATTACTTTTGTCCAATAATGATAATAACAATAATAATAATCATCATTTTAGAGGTGGTACCGCTTTATGAGCTACACACTTTATGCCGACAAATGTGTCTTTTGGTTACCACACTCACTCCGAAAAAGTGAATACTATACTATTTTTTGGCCTTTCAAAACTATATAATTTTTCAAAAGTGCGGCTTCGTGAGTTCTGCACTTTATTTAATTGTTAAAAATATGAGTACCCACAAAGGATCCAAATGTAATGTATAATCGCATTATAGTTGGCACTGTGCATTGAAAGCTGATCTAATAATGACACAATAAACTACCTCACTGACCTTCGGCAAATATTTACTTTCGATTTCTGTTCAAAATTACCCAAGTAAAAGCGGCTTTATATCAAATGGAGACCTGAGTGAACAATGCATATCAATATCGCGGGTTCACCAAGAAGGCTAACCAGTCGATCTTAGCCCAGGTTCGGCATTCGAAAGCAAAAGCAAAAGCAAAACCATTGGCCAGCTAAAAATCAAAATCAAAAGCGGCCAACTAACATAATTGCAAAACACATTCACACACCGCACCGGACCCATACTTACCGGCTTACACACCCACCGAGCGAGCGATCAGAGCCCGAATCGTTAATCAACCGACCGAAACATTTGCGAAAACGAGAAAAGAGTTCATTTTGGGTCACCAAACAGATACTCTCACATTGTGTTTTTAAATGAACACAAAATTAAATTAATATAAAAAATAAAAGAAAAAATGAGCATCCTATACATTAAACTAGATTTGTTCAAGATACTTTACAAAGGTAGTAAATAAATGATTTAAATCTAGGCAAACAAGAATATATTCTATATTTAAAACTACTTAAATAAGCCTCTAGTAGAAAAAGTTTTTTAATAATTTAAATTGCTTTAATTAGTATATAATGCAATTAGGTAAAAATCATTAAATTATATAGCAAAACGAGAAGTTCATGGGATCATGGATTTGAATCATTCAAAACAAAGCCAAAAATGCACTAATTTCAATTTGGAAAGCGCTCCCATGCTAGTATTTATTAGGCTAACAAATCTGCATGCTGAGTCTAAAAATTTAAAACATTAAAATTTTTGTCAAATTTTGAAAATTTTAATGATGTTACCCCTTATAAAAAATTGGAATTTTGAAAAAATTTCAAAAAATTGTTTTTCAACCGGACATGGCAAGATCAACTCAGCTTTTGATTCTGATCAATAATATATATGATTTATGCGGTCGGAAATGGCTCTTTCACTGCGTTCCAAGCTTTAAACTTAAACTATTATACCCTGCAGGGTATGCCAATTATAAACTCTTAAAATCTATTTAATTGGAAAGCTAATGTTCTATAAAAATTTTATAAACAAAATTAAACAATTACGACAAATAAGATACTGCTAAATATCACTCTTCCCTGCCTGACAAACTTATTTTTAAACCAATATAAATCTTTTCCTATTAATATAACTAAATTTGGCTTGCAAAAAAAAGCACATGTTTAGAGAGGTCAATAAACAGATTTATATTTTTATTTACTTGTTTATTTATATATTTAAGATTAATATAAAAATAAACAAGTAAATTAAAATCTATTGCCATTAATGTAGTTTATATCTGATTAAGAAACGTACAAAGAGAGGTCAATAGCCAGACAGTATAAAAATAGACCCATAATTTAAGGAAATAAATACAAAATCTCTTGCCATTGATTTATATGTATTTTAACAGGGAACTTGTGTGGGCGAAGACCAAAATACTTATTTGTAAAGTCAATAAACACCTCTTTCCCATACATTTAATTGTATTTGATCAAGATACTAACGTTTTTAAAACGCATAAAGATAGACCAAACAAAATAATACTCAAGAAAATAAAAATACACTTCCTATTTATTTAATTATAAGTCATTAAAGAAACATAGTTTATTTTTATGGATCCAGAAGACCGAGTAACTTGATATTTTGATCGTTTCTGACGATTTCAACAAGTTTGCACCCAACTTGGCCAGCAAATGAATCAAGCCCGGTTAGAGTTAGATAAACAAAGCCAGGCCCGCGCCATTGTGGCAACGAATAAATTTAAATGCCTCGCAGAAATAACACACAGTAATAAATGGTTGGGTAAATACAATGACCAATTAAAGTGTCATTGGGCTTGCGTTGGCGCTCTCGAAAGGTTGTAAAATCGCATTTAACACATAGGTAAGACCGGTGTAAGCCAGACCAGAAGTGCGGCCAGCTAATGTAAAATATTTGTTAAAACACAGAAAATAATAATGACACGAAAATGTGTCTCGATTTCAGCCAAAAACTCGACCCAGTCTCTGTCTCTTGTACATATTGCACAACGGCAGACATGCAAATTGCACAAAATGGCCTAAATGGTGCACAATTTAGTGTTTATTTCCAATTGTTCAGCGCCGCCACCAAATCGACATCTAAATCGGAGCAGCACGAAAAAGGCGGCATTTATGTTTGTATATATAAATGTATATATTCAGAAGACTTGCTTTTGATTTTATTTTCGAGATCGAGACAATACGCCAAAGCGGCCGCTCCTAAACCAAGGCTTACTGGCGCATTTACACCTACGCCCGATCGAGTATTAAACAGGTTCTTATGGCCACATAATACTATAGGTTGCCACTCAGCAGAATTAAATGTGAAAGGTTTGGCCAACTCAGACTTTGCCAACTCAGTTTTGCCGGATTTACCGTAGGCTGTTGAACTACAACAAACTATGTACTAAACCAGGTCAATAAAGTTCACCTCACCACCAAATGCAGCGGCTTTAGGCCCAAAAAAAAGTGTTTCTTATTCGGGAGAATGACAGCATTTTCGGACCAATAAAAATAAATGTCGCACGTCAGAAAACTGGTTTCATTGCTTTTGTTTCGAATGTTAATTATTTAAATATTTTATTATGCGGATTATTTCCAAAGATTTTATCTTTAAGCACACAAAATTCTGGATAAATAAGGAACGGTTGGAAAAGATAATCTAAAGTCTTCATTAATAACATTTAAAAGATACAGAAAACCTAGTTTTTAAATCAATGTTTTACTCCCCAAATAAATATGTAAAGTCTCTAAACTTTAATTACATAATTTCAGATGATAAAAATCCAATTAAAACAGGTCTAACCTATTTACGATTATAACATGTTTTATTTGAGTTGTAATAAACCTTTCTCTTGCTATAATATTTATGACCGGCTAACTCTTCTGCATTTAATTTATCATGGCTTGTAAGCTCTTCGATTATCTTTGACCAACATAAATTCATTTTCCCCGATTAAATAATAAATAATAATTTGTGAAGAGCATAACCAAAAGATGTAGCTCATAATATTTCATTATTTAAATAGTAATAAACCTTTCTCTTATTTATCAACCTATTATTTAACAATACAAATTTACTATTTAAACACCTCTGCATATAAACTAGCATTAATCTTGGTAATACATTTTCTCCCCTAGTAAAAACACAACCAAAACCAGTCCCGGCTTTAAAATGAAAAGTAATATTGAGTGAGATCTTACCATTTCCTTCCGCAGCGTCGCGATTTGTGCGTCCAGAGTGCTGCCCGCCTCGATGGTCGCCTGGGGGTTTCCTTTGGTGGATAAGCTGGGGGATTTGGGATCCGTTTCTCTTGCTGGAATTGCTCTATTTCCTTTCGGAGAGGCACCGGGCACCGACCCATTACCACCACCGATGGTATTCTCGTTGCTGTCCTGAACGTTATCCGCCTGATAATCGCTTTCTTTTTGGCTGATCTCGCTGTTATTGTTATTGCTTCCCTCCACATCGCTGAGCAGTCCGGAATCGGAGCAAAGTAGTTTATTGAAGCCAATCAGTGACTTGGGCAGGGGTGGCAGCTCGCAGGCCGAGGTTCCACTGCAAGGAGAAGAGGAAACCAATGTCCGAATTAGTCAGGGGAATATATATACTAGACTAAAATACATACAATTTTCTTGCACCCCAACTATACCTTTGCTTTCCACCCAAATAGCCATAACCTTGCCAATAACCAATCACATGACCATCAAGGTCATCGTCACTCTCCTTATCAAAGTCCCCATCACTATTATTATTATCATCATCGGAATCTTCCTCATCCTTAGGATTAAGGTCGTTGAGAACCAAGGGTAACACCGTCATCCCCTCCTCCCCGAACTCCATCTCATCCTCGTAGTCACTGCACGTGGTCGGAGTCTCGCCCCTCATCCGGATCAGTTCCTCGTCCACGTCCCGCTCGTCAATGTTGAAGAGCCCATCCTGGAAGCGTTGGTACCACTTGGCCACATACTGGGCACTCGGTGAGAAAGATCCAAAGGCACTGCGACACTCCTCCAGTATTTGGGAGGGATGGAGGCGGCGACGGAACCCGAAGAGGATGCACTGCTGCAGCTCAATGGCCGTGGGAGCCGGCATGGGTGACAGGAAGAGCTCATCCAGGTCCTCGGACATTTTCGGGGACTTTCTCAGCTGGCCCTTCAAACGACTTATGACATTAGCTGCAAAAGTGTTTGTTTTGGTAGAAGAGATATCGGAATCTTTAGATCTTCCACCAATTATAGATGGATTTTGAACAAATTTCTTGGCTTTTCCATAGCCTCAAAGAAGGAGAACAGAATGGCAACAGCAACGATAGAACAAAGAACACGGAACACAAAACACTGGATGAAGGTGGAAAGCTATATTCAGCATGGGTTCAACTAGTATCAGATGTAGGTTAGGCATAGAACAAGGTATGGCTATATATATTTATGATTTGTTGTGAATTTTGATACTCCAATTGACATAAGCTGCAAAGTCTTGACTTTATTCTATGTTTGTTTAAATTTAAATTGGAAACCCAGAGAAAGGCAACAGGTTCAGAGAAATATACAGCAAATATAAACACAGAAGATAGTATTGCTTATAATTAAAGGTATTTATTAATTTAATATTGCTTTAAAGAAATCTCTTATCCAACTTGTAATAATCTTATTCAGTTATAAATCTTTACCGTGGATAAGATAAGTGAATATACGAGGCTTTGCTGATTACACTTTGTTTTATTATACATATATATTTTAAAAAGAAAGCAAAGCACACATACTGATAAATTGAAACAGGGTGATGGTTAATTATAATAACATTTTAAGCTGATTGTAAAATTTAAAGAACAAGAACTAGAACAGAAAGCAAATCGGTAATGAATGAAATTCGCAAAATATATAAGCTGAGGTATAGGCAAAGCTTAGAATTTATGCATTAGACCTTAATAAATTACTTTGATCAAAGATTAAATCCATTAACAAATCTTACTACGAATATATGTCTTGTTTTCTCTTATGATCCAGATTCAGATAATAATTCTGACTGAGCCTCGCTCTTCGAACTGACATTTTAATCACAATCTGCCATGTACAATGTATACACAGATTTATGAGAACATGGTCAGAATGCGAAAAAGATAAAGTTATGTACACAATGCAGCTCCGTTCGCAAAAGAAAACCAGACACGAAGGCCATCAACTTATGGCTTTTAGAATGCTAACAAACGAGTTCAAAAATTTGCTAAACAGTAAGTTGCATCAAAGGCCAGTAGCCAGTCAAACAGTCAGTCACACGAAACATGGTCAAATGCAGGAGGTAATTTACTTTGTAACCAACATTTATTCCTAATGGATCTAACATAGTATGCAGCTGGGGCATTAAGGTCATACGGTCTATGTAAGTTTAATAATTGCCCACTATTAACTGATTTTTAGGAAACCCTTGGCAAGAAATATCTTTGTTTTATTTGCTGGGAGCTATTAAGATATTCTACAGATGAATTTCCATTATGAAACCTATTCAATGATCTAGAAATTAATTCAAATGGTTAATTAATTCCCTTTAGTTTTATTCAACACAATGATTCAATCCACCTGTTGCTCTTGTAGCTGTCTATAAAAAGTAATTTTGCACTTCAAAGTCTCCGCGTACGATTCTATAATTATATTGAAATCAAAAGGGCAGACCGCCAATCTATATCAACATCTGCAGTCAACACCTTTCAGCTGCTTTTCAGCCCACATGCCAAACTATTTTGAATACATACCAATTAACTCAATCAGTCAACAAGTGATCAAGCCCACATACCATCTATATATTCCTACCTTAACCGATGCATAATGGAAATGAATATTTAAAGAACCAAAATATGTATTAGTAAAGAAAGCATGCTTACCAGGAACTAATCATTATCACAAAATTGATTTGATTTTGGCATGAACTGATATTACGTCATGAGATTTTTCCGAACACACATTTAAGCCATAAATAATATTCTGTGGAAGGTTCTGCGGGGCAAGGCTAGAGGTCAACGATAGAATGATTCTATACAAACGCAAGTGATGGGTTTATTCGAAATGTCTCACATGTCCGTTAAGGAAAACACATGTATATTATATCGTACGTATCTGCCAGGCTTTTACTTTTCAAATAGCTGATGTTGTGAAGTAGTAACACATTGGAAAAACACTGCGGCAACATTTTTTTAGACAATACACAAATCAACACGAATACATTTCGCTCTTGCGAAGCATGGCAGCGGCAAAGATATTATTATTTCAGCTATTTGCTATTTGCTATTTGCTATTTGCAGTATGACTAATTTTGACTGCCAATCTGTCATTTTTTATATCTGAAGAATTCACACAGCTGCGTAAACAGTGTCATTTAAAGGGCCCAGGGCCTTCAGCGCGTACTCACAAATCACGATTTGTACAAACAGTATGGGAGAAATGAACATATAATCTGGATTTCCTAGTTCCGCTCCGCCTCGGGATTGTTTTTATTTTTGTTTCTTTATTCGCTGCGAACTCTCTGCTCGTAGCACCCAGAAATTCGCGTGCAACTAAAGACTAAACACTGCCACTTTCGGCCACGTTCGCATCCAAATCCGAAATCCGTCAGAAACAACAAAACAGAGAAATCCCCAAGATACGAAAGCCACGCGAGGTGAGAGCAAATAACACTCAGGAGAGTGAGAAAATCAAGCGGCATCGGGACAAAAATAAAAATAAATATATAAGAAATGAGCAAATTGATTTAATAAAAAAATAAAATGACAAACAGGGTGTAGCCGGAAGTCAAAAATAGACTAATTCAATTTGAAAATAGAGTTTTTTGTCACATTCCAAAAAGAGTTCATCGACTTTTAGATAGAGATACAGATGGAGATGCAGGTACAATTTAAAGTGTAAATCGAATATATACGAAATATAGTAATTAATTATAGTAATGCGAAAAGTTATAGAATGTTTGATAAAAATAATAAATATCACAATAAAAAATTGGCAAGTCAATGTTTGTTTGCAATTGATTCACGGGATCAAATTGGAAATCAATCATAACTAAGCCAAAAATGCTTAAAAATATAGTATTCTTGGATTTTTGTAAGGAAAATGGCTCAGTCGAGTAGGTTACTTATGCTGATCAGGAATATTTTTAGCCCATAGGAATGAATTAGAAATAATAAGCTTAATAACTAAGCTTAAAATATTCACATTCTTTGAATCAATATTTATAGATCGTTTTGTAAGGCAATTTTTCGACAAAATCACAGTTTAAAAAAGTCATAACTAAGCCAAAAAAGACTTAATTTCAAATCGGAAAGCTTTCTCATGTTTTTTTTTATATTAGCTAAATAAATCTGCATTCTCAATTTAAGATTTAAAAATTTTGCCAATATTTCCTTTTCTTTTTATTGAAAAAATTGAAAATTTAGGCTAGAAAGAATCGCCTGTTTATGCTGATCAAGAATATACGTGTTTTATAGGGTCGGAAATTTGTACTTTACTCTCTGCAAACTTCTGACTGACTTGAGAATACCCTACAAGGGGATTAAAAATAAATTTCGAACAAGAGCATCTTCCAGTTTGTTTAGCGTTCCTATCTTTATCATGTTATGATCTATATTCAGCACCCTGTAGAATGCCCCGTGTCACCAGCGTGGCCCAACTATTTTTAGATATAAATATAACAAAACTCATTTGCTCATGCCGCTGCGAGATCGCTTTGGTTGTAGTACATCATGTACGGAATAATCAGTGGGGCTCTTCAACGAGACCTTTGGGGCGGAATACCAGCGGAGATTCTAGAGCTGCTCCCATTCCCATTCAGAAATATCCGAAAACACGATGTCGAGTGACTTCGAGTGATGCAGCCGTCAAATTTGTCTTATTTCGGACCCCAACTGTGCGTATTTGTTATAGTTTTAGCCTTGCCGTGCGGCGTGCGGGACCAAAGCGAATTGGGAGCAGCCGGAATGCGGCATGGCGCTATATATATTCATATAAATATATATAGTATATAGTAAAGGAAAAATAGTAATAAATAAAACCAGAAGCAAACGGAACAGCGAACTGCAACTGCAGCGGAATGGGGGAATTATGCAGGTGCAGGCCAATCGGATCACGCACATTGCAGGATGTGTGTCTTTTTGCAGAACAATGCAACAAACAATGACGATTTCTTCGCCGACGACGCCGGTGCTTCTCCTACGTGATCATAATACCCAATGGATGACCCAAAAATTTCAGCAAGACGGCGCCGAGAGCTCTCCGAAGTTGAAGGTGATAAAAGGGGATAGAAATCTCTGGGTCAGTTCTGACAGAGTCTTTCACAGCCAATTTAATGAGGGCACGACGTAAAGACTAATAACGCCACGCACACAATCAGGTTCCAGTTTCTCACAGTGGCTTTCTCACGCATTCTAATAAGGCATCGCTTTTCCATTGTCTTCAGCGGACTCAAATTAAGTGAGAAGTTGCCGAGTGACGGTGCACTGATGGAGTTACCGACTTTTCAAGAGTTATTATCATCGGTGGCTCACGTATAATATACTGTCGCCTTCTACGTGC